CTCGTTTAATCCATCGGTTTTGCTTATTGAACTCAATGATTTCTTGTCTTCTAGTTTTATATTGAGTTGAGTCGATAAATCGTGGTATCATGGACGCCATTTTGTGCCCTGTTATTAAATTAGTCAGTCGAACCTCTAAGGGATCTAGACCCAATTCAAAGGCGACGTGTTCTATAATATTTTCTATCATAGCTATGCCTTCTACAGAACCCGGTGCTCTGCATGCCGTATTATTTGGAGAATCGGTCAGCACCATATAGCCATCCAAGATAAAGTTGTCTGAAGTGAAGTCATAACAGTTTTTAGATACCAGTAAGGTATGACCCATTGGAGATTCATTAGGAGAATATCCAGCGTCTTCATAAAATTTAGAAATGAGCTTGACGAATTTACCCGATTTTTTCACATAAAAATTATAGTCCACATTACATGGCCATCTTTTGCCTAAAGTATCCATCATTGACTCAATAGATTGAACAAAACGGACTGGTCTGTTCAGTTTGTAAGCTGCCAATGCAGCGCTACAAGCAACAGGATTACAGCGCGTAGCCTTACCACCATAACCACCACCAAGGCGGCGGGTTATAACTTGAACTTCATTATTTCTCAAGTTCAGTAGATTTGAAACCACAATTTGAACCAAGTCCATCCACTGCGTAGCAACATATAATTGAATGCCTCCTTCAGAAGGTATGGCTACAGTGCTATGAGGTTCCATGAAGAAATGATATTGTAACCCCATTTCCAATTCACCTTTTACCTCTAAATCATAGTTGTTAATTTTCATTGCATCTTCTGTAGCATCAGATTTAATAGAATGTTGTATCCTGTTTGACGGCCCATCATTTAAAACTTCCTTAAGGGTGGAAAGTACTTCTTTAGCACCGCCTTCATACTTAATTTTAATCAATTCAGCTGCTTTATACGCCAAAGTATTTGATTCGGCCACTACAATACCAACCGGTTGGTTATAAAATTTGACTTCTCCAGTTAAGAAAAGTTCCTCCTCTTCGACAAAGAAAAAGTTATCTGGTACGGAAATAAGATTTTTTCCAGGCACATCTTTAGCTGTAAATACAGCCACTACACCAGGTAATTTCATTGCCTCCGTTGAATCAATGTCAATCACTGTAGCACCAACTTTCTTAGCCGAAAAGAAGGCAGCCCAAAGTTGTTGTGACTGAGGAGGTAAATCGTTGGCAAATATTGCTTCGCCAGAGCACTGCAAGAGACCTTCATGTTTCTCCGTAGGTTTTTTTACAGGATAATCATGTTCATTTTTTTCAAATATTTGCCTGCCGCTAGAAACAGGTCTGTTGAGAATATTACCACCAGATATAAATTTTGAATCAAGTTTATTGGAAGGAGCATAAGCCAATAAAAATTTATAAAATAAACCCTGAGCTAATTTAACTCTGTACTCTGGAGAAGGCTCTGGCAATACTATATCAGCTTTTAATTCAGTTTGCATTAATGTTAGAGCTTCTTTAATAGTAGACAATTCAAATAGGGGCTTATTTAATAAATGTGTCTCCAACTGAAGAGCTCTTGAAAATCGTGGATTGATACCACCATAACATATTCGTGTAGACTTAACTATATAATTTGGTTTACTTGCCTGGATTAGTATAGCTGCATTAACATAGGCATGTGCGTTTTGAGCTCTTGGCATTATCTAAAATACGAAATTTACTTAAAGAATTAATATTTTTAAAATATGTAATACAAACCTTATATGAATCGAAAATGTATTCCTCACTACTGTATGGTTTCAAATCAAAACATTTAATTATTTTATTGGTCATTGGAGTTTTTAGATATTCTGAGAGCGAAAGAATGCTTTCTTGTTTAAATGATTCCTGTACGACAACATGTACGTCGAGTGCTTCAAACACTAAGTAGACATCAGAAGGGAATTCGGGGTGCTGGTGTTTCATAGATAAGTTACCCGCTAAAGTACCCATCTGAAATAGTTGTGATCAAATAATTGCATTTGTTATTTATCTTATCTAAAAGCCCTTAATATTGCAATTGTGATTAAATCAAATGACTTACATTTCTAACTGGCACATTAGCAATTAAATCAAAATGTTTCCACAGTTTCTTGCAATACTCAAATCCCTTAGACATTGCTGCTTTCTCAAATATTTCCATCGTTTCAGTAAGGCTTAAATTACCACCTAATCTCAAAGAATTTGTTGTTAATTTGTAACCATGTAATTCAGGTATCGAATTAATGTCGATAAATGTACGAATAGAACTAGAGCGTCGAAAAACACCATGAGCCGTATTTCCAGATACCAGAGAGTATTCCTTCCCCTTTAGTTCGGAGAATATTTTAAATATTTCATCCAATGAATTGGGCCAGAACCATTGTTCACCGCTGTCATAGGACAAGGAAATATATTGCTTTCTTTGCTCTTTGCAGTTACCGCTACAATTTTTTCCAGTTTTGGGACAAGTTTTATTAGACAGGTCTTCAATATCTTGACATTCTTCGGGAATTTCAATGTTACTGTCTACAGCAAATGATTTCATAGCATCTAGAATTGGTCGGTAACCAGTACAACGACATATATTGCCCCCAAATGAGTTTTCTACCTCTTCCATGGTGACTTTACTATTTTTGCTTTTTAATAGCCCATACATATTCATAACGAATCCCGGTGAGCAGTAACCACATTGAGTGCCATTCATTTTAGCAAGTCGTTTTTGAATGGGATGGAAGCCATCGCGTTTATTACCGATGCCCTCACATGTCGTAATTTCTAAATCCAGACATGTATTTAATAATGTGAGACACTATTTTTAAATAAAGAATAAATTAATGCCTGGCTATATATTTTTGATGTAGCGAACTTACGGAGTTTACTGCCCATGTTTTAATTTCCCCAGTAACAGGGTGCTTTCCAGTAGCAACGCAAATGCAAACACCACATCCGCCTTCTTGGCACATGAATTTAGTACCAGGTAAACCAGCATAATCCCGAATAAATGTATTCAAAGTTATGTCAGCCGGTAGACTTTCCAAATTCACTGAAAATCAAAGCGATAAATACTTAGAAATATATTTTACATTAAATAAACATATAACTTACCGGAATAGGGTTTGCCATTTATCGAAAATTTCGTTATCATTTTATTTAAGTTTTCAATTGGTGTTCGGACTGATTTTCTTTTTTTCTTTCTAAATTGTTATATAAGGAAGAATAAGCAATATTTAATATATACTTTTTATTTACAGTTTCAAGTACACAACTATTGCGCACTAGATCTAAACTTTTAATGTGGGTTGAACGCGAATGAATGAACGTTTTGTTTAGGAATGTCTTTTATTAATATTATACACTTTTTTAATTTTTGAGAGTCTCTTGGCTGTAAGAGCGATAGATAAGTTAGGTTATTAGTTCTAAATGAGAATATTTTTATAAAAATATCGTTATATCAGTAAATTAACAAGCAAACAAAGCCCTCCTATCGAAATCAACACAAACATACATATGTCGTACGCAATCATTACAAGATTAGAATTACAAAGCCGAAATAACACTAACAAAATATACTAATATGTACATTAAAACACGACTATATCGAATGATTCGTTATTGTCAACTTATTTTAAAGTACTGTTTTCATTTATAAGACATTATGACATATTTAAATTATCAAGAATCTCAAAATATGAAGAAATCAAAGGTTTATGAAAAAAATTTTGCACAAAATTGTTAGTCTTCTCTTTATTATTATTATTAATTATATACAAAATTTATCAGAAGTCAGCCAAGAAATTGTTTATTAAACTTTTGTTTTTGGTAATTTTTTGAAGGGTTGATTTCCCAAATATTAGTTTTGTGGTCGGGAGTTCTTGTGCGCTAAATTTGATTAAACAAGTCTGTTAAGAGGAAACGTATATCCTTATGTCTGCCGTTCGTCATAACCGAGATTGACTGTTCATACAAACAATTTGAAAATATGTTGTGTCATGAACACTATTAGTTTGTTTTTGCTTTTTTTGTATATGATTTTACAAACAATTTGAAAAATCGTTTTATTATTGCAAACGATCTGATAAGATTAACAATTGAGAGAGAGAAAGAGGGAAGTGGAAGAGAATGTGTGCAATTTCAGGTTATATACAAGTCTATGTATAAAATACTTATATACAATGATCAGCTGTGCAAACGATATTACATACCTTATAGTCAGTTTACCCAGCTTATAAGCTTAGCTTTCTTTCATTGGTTTTCACGGTTTTTTAAATATTTTTTTCTTAAGGTTATCAACGGTGAGAGAGAGTGTTTGGTGATAAAAAACTTATGTTTTGCAATCTTTCATTGAATTGTACTGTTTTCTTTCATATTCCTTTCAAATGAAAAACAATTTACTGTTGGAAATTTCTGTCGAGGCAAATGTTTAGATTATAATGATATCTTAATTGGGTGGAGTGACTCCAAAATGTAAGTTGCTGATGTTCCTTCCGAAAATTAAAATTTAGTTTATTCTACGATACCTCTTCTAAATTTTTTTGTTCTGACATCAATATATGGTGTACTAGATCAAAAAATAAAAAGGATTTTTTTGAGGTTTTTGCGATTTTACAAAAATACGCAATTTTGGTACCATATAAAAGGCTTTCAATGTCATATAAAATATTATGTGCGATTACATTTTTTAAATTTTTCGGAAAAATTTTTGAATTTTTACATAGAATTTTTTTAATATAGGTAATTGAAATTATTACATATTATACAGTTTCACCGAAATGTTTTTTTCTGGTTTTAAAAATGCGATTTTTAAAACTGATTCTCTACCCGAGCTAATTAATATACTTCGCTTAAAATCAAAACGCGAGAAGTTGTCATGTGGTTTTTGTTTTTTATAAAAACAACAAAATAAATAACATTTTGAATGTTATTGTTTATATTATTGAACCATGATTTAAATATTAATCCATAAACCTATCTCTTGTAATAAATATTTGAATTAAATGCCATTTCCAATTTATTAATGCAACCAACACCTTAGTTTATTGATTATAGATATCACTACAATTTTAAATGCAAATTGTACCTGATATATTTGCAAATTGATGCAAGCTAACATTAGAAAAAAATGTTAATTAGCAATATATCTATTTAAGTATGCACATTATACATGTGTAAATATATTATAATTATTCTAAGGAGAAAGCAGATATATCATTACCAGCATTCAAAACAAAAGTTTCGGGAGTAGTTGGTGCTCCGAAACGAATCCATTCTTTCTTAAGACCGGCGTCCTTGCGTGCCGAATGCAAGGCATGTTCCTTAGCAAAAATTGCACTGATTGCTAGACAGCTGGGAGGTTCGCCTGTTGCTTTAGAACGTAGAAACCCAGCAGGGTTCGGACTACCAGGCAAAAGTTCAATGCGAAAATCAATAGGAATATCCTTTGCACCGGGTGGTTTATAGTTCCACGTGCGATTAGTCATTAATTGGCCAGTGGTGCGGTCATATACCAGTTGTTCAGTTAGCCAATAGCCCAAACACATAACGAACGCTCCTTCTATTTGTCCAATGTCAATGTAAGGATTTAAACTTTCACCAGCATCTTCTAATATATCAACTCGTTTGATTAAGTGATTACCCGTTAAAATATCTACTTCAAGTTCGGTAAGAGATAAACCGTAAATATTATAGTTTTGCATATCACCCACTTTATAATGATCACTGGCAATTAGATTTATGTTTTTTACCCAAGCTGTTTGTACAACCTGCGCCCAAGTAGCGTTGTTTTTTAGAGATTCTTTTATAGGTTTCAAGCGATCGTTTAAGGTATTGCAAGCCTTTCGAACAGCGAAACAAACACTTTCACTACCCACACTTCCTCCAGTAACCATTGAATTGGCTCCATTCAAGGTATCGCTTGCTTCAATTTTCACAAATTCTACAGGAATTCCTAATACGTAAGCTGCAACCTGAGTTATTTTCGTATTCATACCTGCAATTTATTATAATATTTTTAATACATAATTAAACAAGGCTGGATTAAAATTATGCCACATTTTTCCTACCTTGGCCCATTTCTATTCCACCATGAGATATCACCACCGAACCATCAGTGTGATAAATGGAAACTGTGGCGGGATACTGACCAAAATAAAGAAGGGGGTAATCAATAATTGCTAAACCCAAACCTCGTTTAATCCATCTATTTTTTTCATTAAAACTGTCAATTTCTTGTCGTCGTTTTCTATATTCAGTCGATTTCAGAAAACGTGGCAATAACTCATTCATTTTATGACCTGATTGTAAATTAACAAGACGAGCATCGGCAGGGTCTACGTTAGTCTCAAAAGCAATATGTTCCAATATGTTTTCAATCATAGCAATCCCTTAAAAAGAAATTATTTATCTAATCATCATAGTTGAAACTTTTTTTATCAAAATTACCTTCAACAGAACCTGGGGCACGACACCAAGTGGAACTGGTGGCATCGGTGATAACAGAGTTTCCCTCTAATTTGTAATTGTCTGCCGTGAAAGCATAACAGTTTTTTGCGCATAATGTTGAAAGGTCTGGGACAGGATTTTCATTAAGGGTGCAACCAGCATCTTCATAGAAAATATTTTTTAAACCAACAATTTTGCCATTTGATTTAACGTGAAATTCATAATCTGAACGACAGCCCCATCGCTTGCCATTTGAATTCATCATAGATTCAATGGATTGCACAAATCGTGCAGGTCGGTTAAGTTTGTATGCTGCCAAAGAAGCGGCGCAAGCAACAGCATTTCCCCGGGAGATCTTACTGCCATATCCACCGCCAAGACGTCTGACTTTCATTTGAATGTCAGCAGCTTTCATTTGCAGCATTTTCGAAATAACACTTTGTGTATGATCTATCCATTGAGTGGTGGCCCATACTTGAAGTCCATCTTCGAATGGAACTGCAACACATGTTTGTGGTTCCATAGTGAAATGGTACTGCAAACCCATTTCAAAGATTCCTTTTCCTGTTATGTCAGCATTATCAGTTAATTTAATGTCCTTAATATCCGAAGGAGCGACATTATGTACTCGATCCATTCTGTTATTAGCGAAAACGTCTCCCAAGGTTGGCATTATCAAGTCACTACCTTTTGAGTAGATGACTTTTATTTTAGAAGCTGCTCTATTGGCAATATCGCTTGTAACAGCAACCACCATGCCCAGCGGTTGATCATAGTAGCGTACAATCTCGGCTGTAAACAATTCCTCAACTTCGTAGCCGAATTCAGGATCAACAGTGGTATTTGAACCAGGTATATCTTTTGCTGAATAAAAAGCAATAACACCTGGCATTTTCAAGGCTTCGGATGCATCGATTTGTTCGATAGATGCTCCGACTTTTGTAGCATTAACAAAGGCACAATGTACAGAATTATCTGTAGTTAAAACATCGTTCATGTACGTAGCTTCACCGGAGCATTGAATTATTGCTAACAAAAAGAATATCGTTACTAATGAGCGATCTTAAACATACAAGTTTTAAATATAAATTTACCTTCAACTTTTTGTAAAGGCTGTGTAATAGGGTAATTATTTTTTTGGGACTCAAATGTTTGCAAACCCGAAGAGAGATCACGTTTTAATATTTGACCACCACTTTTAAATTCTGGTTTTACTTTATCGGATGGCGCAATGTCTAGGAGACATTTTAGCATGAGACCACAGGCAAGTTTTCGACGATATTCAGGAGAAGGATCAGGCAAAATTGCGTTAGGTTGCAAAATATTTGACAACTCCGAAAATATCTTCTCAACGACAGCTTTATCGTGAAATATTTCGCCTTTGAGAAGCTCCTCAACACTAGAGGCATGAACGAATTCTGGCGTTATACCACCAAAACAAATGCGGACATTATTTACTTTTCCTGATTTTTCGACATCAAATAAAAACCCTGCATTGACAAAAGCGTGAGCATTTTGGGCACGGGGCATAATCTGCGAAAAGAAATGTTTAAAAAAATGAGAGATACATACTAATATAGAGCAGAAAGCGATCTTACCTTATATGATTTGAATATATATTTATCCTTGGGATAAGCTTTTAATATGAATGCATTAATGACCATTTTCGGTGTATTGTTCTTTAAAAACTCGGATAAAGACATAGCTTCCTGTTTTACTGCATCCAAATTAACGAGCACTTGTGCATCCAATGTTTCAAATGTAATAAATACATCCGATGGAAATTCCGAATAACTTTTCTTTGTTGAAATATTGCCTGCTAAAGTGCCTGACTAAAATTTAATTTCAATTAAGCATTTAACAATACTTTAAACATTAGAGCGATATTTTAAACAAAATTAGTAGTATGACCTAATCAAATTTTTTCCGGTCATTATGAAAACAAAAGTAATACTTAGTCCTAATCATTGTTACCAGGATCTTCAGATAAAAAGCCAAAGATTACAATAAAAAGTAGAAAAAGGCAAACTTTTACATTTTAAAATATCTATTAAAACAAGTGAAAAATTACAGTCAAATTGGTGTTAGTTTTGAAGTTTTGCAATTTTTGTAAACATATAAGGCCTTATACATAACAATTTATCAAAGGTTTGTAAGACAAATTTTCATACAAATTTTGTTCTACAAACATTATTAAATTGTTATGAGTAAGACAGATAAAATATAAAACATTCTAAATACTTTTTATACCAGTGTTTGATAAACAACAAAAGTAAAATAAATATATATGTATATTAAAGATTCAAATTTCGCGTTTGTTTACTTAATTATTTGAACAACTGCACAAATTTTACGTTAACCTGTTTAAATAATGTCTATTAAAAGCTTAGCTACGACGATGTTTAACTTAACAATAATACAAAGTTAATTATAATGTTTTTACTTTCGATTAATTGTAATTTTTGATAATGACATATACATGTCTAAATATGGTGTTGGGTTAATAAAAATCACTACTTACGTTTCTTACAGGAACATTTGCTATTAGGTCAAAGTGATTCCATAATTGCTCACAATATTCGAAACCAGATTTCTTAGAAGCTTCAACAAAAATATCCATTGTTTCAGTGAGACTTAAATTAGCACCCAATTTTAAGTAATCATTGGTAAGCTCATGATTTTTTAAATCACTTATGGCATTTACATCAATGAACTGTTTTATATTTTCCGATCTCCTGTATACGCCGTGGGCTGTGTTGCCGGCTACCAACATATATTCGTCATTTGTGTTGATTTTCGAAATGATGTCGAATAGTTCGGTGAGGTTTTTTGGCCAATGCCATTCACACCCATCATCATATGTCAAATATTTAAGGGGTTTGTGACATGAACCAGCACACAATTGACCCGTTTTGGGACATTTTTTATTTGAAAGGTCTTCAATGTCTTGACATTCTTCTGGAACCTGAATATTACTATCCACAGCAAATGATTTCATGGCATCCAAAATGGGTCTATAGCCGGTACAACGACATATATTGCCTCCAAAGGAATTCTCCACCTCCGCCATGCTGACCTTTCCAGCTTTAGATTCTAGTAAACCATACATGTTCATAACAAATCCCGAGGTACAGAACCCACATTGTGATCCATTCATTTTAGCCAAGCGTTTTTGTATAGGATGATAGCCATTGCGCTTATTTCCGAGTCCTTCGTTGGTTGTAATTTCCCAATCGGCACAACAATTTAACAATGTCAGGCACTAAATATGAAAATAATAATTTTACATCCAATAAATATAATTACATATATGTATGTATACAACTGTTATTTTTGAAAGTATGAGTCCATTTGTTTTTCAAGTGGGATATGTAAGCTTCCGGTAAGAGCAATTTTTATGTATTTGTCGTAAAATATAATAAAATGTTCTATATTATAAAAAACTTTAATACTCAATACAAAACTAGTTGTTATTTAAACTTTGGCTGTACTATACCACTTTCAGAAACAATATTTATTATTTCTTCATAAGAAAAAAAATGGTATGAGAACAGTTTTAGTGTATAGAATTATAATATTCCAGTAAGAATCGAAAAGAAGTAGAATTTATTCCATGGAAGCACCGAAAAAGGCCTGTAGATACAATATTTTTATAGGAGCAAAGTCATGCACGGCTACTTGTGCATACGAATACTTTTTTGATATATTATACTGCTACCAGGATTTTCAATCGCTGGTAGGGAACTGAGGACCGTTAAAAAAAAATAATATTTCCTTATTAAGTACAGAGTGAGATACTTAAAAAATCGAATGTACAAGTATGAATGTTTTACCGAATTCGCAGCCCATGTTTTCATTTCGCCTGTGACGGGATGTTTTCCTTTAATAGCGACCACACATGCACCACAACCACCTTCCAAGCACATAAATTTTGTGGCGGTAAGTTTAGCATGTTCTCTTATAAAAGTATTTAAAGTTATATCAGCCGGTAAAGTAGACAAATTAACTGTACAAAAAAAAAAAAACATTTTAGGGAATAAAAGTTTAACTTTACTAATTACCATCAATACCTGTATAAGGTTGACCATTTATTTTAAAACTCGTCGTCATATTGTAGATTTTTTATATTAGTAATTGTTTTTTTTAAGATTCACTTTGAAAAATTGAAATATATTGTAACAAATTTTTCCGAAGTAATTTTATTTGAAGACCTGTTTCAGTGACATTTACTGTGAAACTGAATGATCGACTGTATTGCAGTTAAAAAAGAGCTACTGCTAAAAGCCGTATGGTTGGAGTGTCAATTTTATTAATTTTATTATTTTTTATTTCAACAATGACAAAGCTCGTTTGAACAATTTACTTTTTATTCCTAAATGAAAATAATTGCAGTATTTGTTGAATTATTTTTATCGTTATTAAATATTTTCTACTTCTACCCAGGAAAAACTTACATTGAAAAGTAATGAGTTAAATAGCTAATAAAACCTCTTTTCACTACTTCTTCATTAGCATTTTAAGTCATTATTTTAACACGGTGATGTCATTGGAGGCAAGTACTTCTACGCATGCTTACAAATAGGGACTTAAAGAAGTACTTGCAATTTCCCTTACAAAACAGTTGTTGAGTAAGTTGTTTTGTTTTTTAATAATAAAAAGAGCCAGCTAGAATACGAACCAGGGGCTTCGGTTTGTTAGTCAAATGTTCTACACACTGCACCACTGCTGAGCTATTTTATTGCGCGTCAAATAATGGTTTTCACAAACAAAACTAATTTTTTTTTTATTTTTTTAAAACACAATTCTTAAAACGCAATTAAATAAAATGTGCAAACAAAATGACAAAGCCGAAAATAAAGTACTTCTATATCAGATTATAAGAAAGTCATTACTAGAGTACTTCTATGTAATGCAGACGGTAAGTAATAGTCATTGAAAAGTAAGTGGTTATGGAAGTACAACCCATTACCGAGTTTTTGCTGGGTAGTTTTGTTTATTTTTAAATGGACATTCGCATACATATAGAAATAAACGGCTTAATGTATCACTACATTTGATAATTAATAAATATATTTCTAACAAAAATAATTTTCAGACTAAAAATAATTTTTATTTTAATTTTAAATTTATTTTCTTTAAATATCGCTCTTGCACTTGTTGTATGTTTAATAATATTATTTTTTAATAGAAACAGAATACATTTAGAAATAAAAAGTTTTTGTAAAAATAGGAATACTTTTCAAAATATAATACCAATTATGTTTTGCGATACTCAGTATGAAAGAGATAATGCTATTTTAAGTGAGATAATATATAACATCTGCACTTTGTTTTGAGGAATTCTCTATTACATTATTTATTTCTGCATAATAATTTTTTTAGTTTTGTTTAATTTTAAATGTATAACGTATGTATATGGTATGTATACGTTCACAAATTATTCTTTCAGTGTTACATCACAATGATTATATTACTATTCATATATCAAATAGAATATGTATATATTTATTAATATGCCAATGTTTCTTCTTGAAAAGAAATATATTATATGGATTTAGTTAATAAATTTTATCATTGCATTTGTACAAATGAATTTGTAGTATTAAACACTTATAATTATTTGAATTTTCTTTAGTTTATCAAAATCAATTTGTAAATTTCAACTACTTCACAAAACAATCTAAAAAATGTGTAAAAAAATTACGAAATCGACATTCAATAGATGGCCGCATAATTTTAGAAAATGTATTGAAAAGCTTTACAAAGAAATAGTGCGTAAATCTAGAAGCGAAGGTAAAGGCGACATTTGAAATACCCTACTACCCCCTAAAAAATATAACATACTATTAAATTATTTAAAAACACATTCGATAAAATGAAGAAGTTGTACCAAAACAATTTTCCAGGGGGTTCGAATAAAAATCTCACGCATTTTTCTATAAAATTGCCGAAAATCTTTAATTATATCAAACATTTTTTAATCACGTCAAATGATCATAAAATTAACGAGAAAATGGCAACATCTCTTCGCATGTGCTAGAGCTATTTTGATGTTTGAAAATATGAATAAAAGTAAAATGGGAATAGTTTACATTTTGAAGAGAAACGTGTTTTACTTGCTGTAGAGTACTGTATACATTGATTATCTATAAATCTTAACCGGCTCTTATAACAAATTAAGTCCCCCCAAAATGTACGCCTGTGAACTATGATATTTAATTTTCAGATTAAGTACATAATAAAAGAGAGGGAGAGTGTGAGAGATGGAGAACAATTTAAAATTTTTGAAAACAGAGAAAAGCTTTTTGATTTCAAAATTAGTTTAAACTGAGAGAATAAAAGTTTCTAATGAGAAAATGTTACTATCTGTAGTGTTTAAAATTAGTGAAGTAGAAAAACGTGACTAAAAAAACTATAATTATCGGCTGTTTAAACATTTGTTTTTGTTGTTTTTATAAATTTAAAGCACACACAGGCCTGCCAGATTTGCCGATTTATCGGCATTTTGCCGATATTTTACCTTCAAAATAGTAAAGTGCCGATTTCCCGATTTTTGCTTAAAAAATGCCGATTTTTTACCCAATCGAACAAATTAACGAATTTATTATAACTTTACAGAAGCAAAAATTACATGGAGCTTTTAAAACAATTGGGAAAGGAAAATTTACAGTACGGTAGAACACAATTTGCTCCATCACTAATGTCAATTGGATCGATTATGAAAAGGAAACACAATTTATGTATGAAAATCCTGAATAGGTTCTAAAAGTCTGATCTAAGGGTGCTAAAATTTTTAAGAAATTTTTTATGGTTCGAAAATAAATTTACACATTTTTGTGGAAAAGTTAAAAAATTTGGAGAAAATTTCCCATTATAAAAATGTACTCAGCAAAATCTTTACCTATCCGATTTTTGTTCGACGATAACCAATAACAAATGTGATAACCCCACATTCCTGGATTTAAAATCGGCTTTGCAGTAATTTTCTGTGTTTATTAGTCTATTCTATTTGATCGTGCAATTTGGAATTTAAAAAACAATATTTTTTCAAAAAACTTCTAATATTGACTAGGATTAGAACCAATAACTAATTCCATATTAGACACACGCTCTAGACAATTGGTTACAAATCCTATTGTAAAAATTAATTAATATTGTTGATAACGATCACTCACTGTCAAGTGATGTGTGAAATAACTACATCATGTATGATGTATGAAATAACAAAATTTTAAAATTTTTTACAGGGTAAATATATAGTAATCCACAAATAAATATACATTTACATTTTTCTGCAAAAGTGATACAAATTCTAATAGATTTTATTCCACTAAACCAAGGTTTCGGTGTACCCTTACAAAGAGTTCTTTTATTAGACCTATTCTGAATAAAAATTCCCTGAGTTATGCATGTATGTAAAAACAATCTTGTGATTTTTGAATTTATTTGTGTTATGTTTCTTTGGTACAAAATAGTGTTTCTTTCAATTGTCGATTTGTTGCCGATTTTTAAAACGTAAGTGCCGATAAATGCCGATTTTTTGGGAAAAAATTGCCGATATTTCTACAAATTTATCTGGCAGCCCTGAGCACACAGTAGCATCTTTTGTTTGTGCCCAAAATTTTAATTTAATTATCTTAATTATGTGAAAATTTTGTCTATTTAAAAAGTTTTTTTGTGGTTTTTTTAAAATTATTAAATAACGGAAAAATAATAATCAGTATTATATCATTATTTATTAATTAATATTGGTAGAAAATAAAACAGTATACAAAGATTTATCTTGTGGCGTATTCTCTTATCATTAAATCATCTTATTTATTATTATAAAATTTAATTTTGTTTACTTTATCTACATGACATTAAAACATGACAAACACTTTTATTTTTGAGAAATCATTCAAATTTGATTAACAGAGGTAATATAATCAAAAATAAATTCTGTATATTCATTTTAAAATCATTCATCAAAACATTTTAACTCCTTTTATTATTTGAATTGGAATGCAACTGCGTCATCACAGCCCACTGTCATCGTTTATGAGTATGAAGATAAAGGAAACAAAATCATCAAAGTTTTCTTATTCAAAATAAAAAATATAAATAAATATTCGTACCATAAAAACGATTTGAATTGTTCCTATTTGTTTTTATTTTTTTAAAGGGTCGTTTTTGTTGAAGTTGAAAGTCATCTTTACGCACTGGATTATTTTTAACTTTATGTTTTACCTTTTATTTATGTATAGATTATCAAATATACGAAAAGATCGTAAATATATGATTAATTATGTGGTAATAAAGGGTATATATGTATAAGTTTGTCATTACATGTAAAACACTCAGAACTATTCATTTAAGACCAAACAAAAAATATATATTCCGGGTCCTTATGACATTCTGAGTCGATTCAGCTATGTCCATCTGTCTGTTTAATACACACCCACGTCAAAACTAAGCAAAAGAAATCAATCAAATTTGGTATTGAAACTCAGCGGTTTACAATGTAAAATGTTATAAGTAGAAACTCCAAACTACCTAAAAATAATTATGTTTTTTTCTAATTTAAAGATTATTCGGTGGATTTTGTCACATGTTATTTTTTACAGCCCGAGGGTGAATTCTGTTCAAAATCATAATAATATTTCCAAAATTTCCCATGGCTCCCATATAAAGCTACATATTCCCGATAATGAATCTTTGATAACTCCTTCGAAAATATAGGTATTACCATCATTGTCAAAAAAACTTATGATTTGAAATAAATAATGCTTTTAATTTCGTAAGATTTGTACTTTATTTTAAACTAACTCTGGTCACCTCTTATTACGAGTTTCTTAATTGAGTCATCAAGAGATAATATGCAATGAAAAAAATTATTTTAACGTATATGAAATCATCTTTACAATTTCAAGGTTTAAAAGCAGAGAGTAGATACAGAAAAATGTAGTGTTGGACGGACTTCAGACCCACCACACAGCAGACTGAAGGTGCTGTATGGTATCACATCGATATCAGTAAGCAACGATACAAAGAAAATAAGTTAACTAAAAGCTGTTCAGCAGCAATAATCGTTCAAATACGAATTACTTGTGACGTGCCTGCCAATTAAATGTAATCATTTTAGCGATCTTAACGAACAAATAACCTGAAATTTATTGCAACATTTGTGACGTATGTTTGTCGTTTTTGCCGACTGAATTTTTCATCTGCCATATGTAACTTACTATAGCAAAATTATGTGTTATATGTATTATATGTATGTATTTGTCGTCTTTAAGGAAAT